AGGGCTCCAGTGGGAAGGAAGAGTTGTAGGGAAGGGGCTCTGTGGGATGCTCCTGCCCCACCTCTGCAGCTCTGAGATGCCTCCTTGTCTCTGCATCCTCCTCTCATTGAATTTAAGCTGAAATCAGCCAGAACCAATAGACATCCATCTGGGTATGACAAATCAAAAAAGCTGCCTGAAGGTCCCAGCCCTCCTGACCAAGTCTGAGCTGCTGGAGAGGACCCTGTTTGTCCCCCCTCTGACAGTTCCTCTGCCCTAAAGCTGAAGGAGACTTGTCCCAGCTGCAGCTCTTCCCGGCCTCAGTGTGGGAGGGAAAAATCATCCCTTGGAACCATAGGAAATAAACAGATAATTCAGCACTTAACAAGAAATGCAGGAACACTCATAGCAGAGCAGTCACCCCCAAGGAGGCTGTGACTGTGGTTCTGGCCAGCAGCTATCTCTGCAGAAACCAAGGTCAGGCACGTTCATCTTCTTCTGTCTCAGCAGCTTCAGGCACCACGTCCCCTCTGATTGTGTCTGTGCCTTGTCCTGCAACAGCCCCAGTGGTGGCAGCATCATCGTGGCTTGACCCTGCTCTTCAGGGAAAGGCTATTTTTGTGTCTTCTAGGGGTGAGGGGTTGCTCTCTGCAACTAGACAAACTGTCTCACCCACTCTCAGCACCTGCCCGGGGCTCCTGGCTTGTCCCAGGTGATGTGATCACCCCCACACACACCTTGGGGATCTCTGCCTCAGCTGGGGCAGAATGGGGTCAGCCCAGGGCAAAGTATTGCCTGGAAAAACCAATCCAGACCAGTTCCTGGCTGCTTTTAAACATCAACACTGACTATTTTATACCTTATAAATAAAACACACTTTTAGCTAAAAAAAAATTAAAATAAATTTTAAAAAATCAGCAAGGTCCTGTTTTATTTACTCTCTTCTGAGCAAACTTCATTTTTAATTTCAGTGACATCAGCTGGAGAAGGCAAGCTCCTGGTTGCATCCCATAAACCACAGCACCAAAATCCCCTTCTTTTAGCCAGGCTGGACCAGTCACACGTGTCTCTAGGCAGCCCCTCTGTACCTGCCAGCTGATAAACTGGTGGTAGGTCCCAGCCAGAAAAGGAATTGTGGCAATTTGTCCCGTGTTGTGCTGCAATCCAGGCAGGTGCAAAGAGTTTAATCAGCTTTATCCAGCTCAGCTGGCTGGCTGGAAGGATCACAAACACCCCTCTGGCAGGGCTCTGCTCCTGTGGCTCAGCAGTGAGGTGGCACCTTTCTCTTATGGGACAGCACAGAGAGGGGTTTTGTGGCCTTAATCCCCATGGGGTGGCTGAGGAGCAGAAAGGATAGCAGGGAAGGTGCAGGAGGCAGGATGATGGTTAGGAGGAGGGAGACTAGGGCTGCAGCTCCAGCTGTGGGATCTGCACTTTCCACCTTGGAAGTGGCCAGTGTGTCCACCCAAAGGGAGCTCCTGAGGGGTTAGCCTGCCTGCAAAAGCTGTGAGCAGGTGAAGGAGCTCCTGCAGCAGAGAGCTGAGCTGCAGGACAGTGAGGAGGCTGCAGAGTGTCAGGGAGGCTGAGAATTGAGCTGGTTGATGGTGCTCACTGCCCAGTTGGCCAAATCCTCCCCCACAGCACACGTGGAAAGGAGGGAGAGCCAGTGAAACAGGGGAGGGGAAGGTGGTGAGGAGAAGAACTAAAGGAACAAGCAAGAGGAAGGGGCCTCCCTCAAAGCCTGAGGTGCCCTTGAAGAACCAGTTCACTCCTCAGCAAACAATGGAAGAGGAAAATTACCAACCTACGTCACTGCTGGAGCAGAGCAAGGCAGCTCAATCTGTTCCAAGTATAACAACCAGTGTGTCCAAGAAAAAGCAATGGGTGAGAGTGGTTGGTAGGTGACTCTCTTCTCAGAGGCACCCGTTTGCAGAGCAGACCAGCTTTCTAGAGAGGTGTGCTGTCTACCAGGCATCAGGGATGTCACTGAGAGGCTTCCTGGCCTTTTACACCCAACTGAATGTGACCTGCTCTTGGTGTTTGGTGTGGGTACCACTGATGCAGCCACCACCAGTGTTAAGAGTATTAAAAAGAGGATTTCAGAGCCCTGGAAGCAGTAGTTCAGGGCTCTGGAGCACAGGCAGTACTTTAATCAGTCCTACCAGTCAAAGGGAAGGGGATAGACAGGGCCAGTGGGATCCCGCAAATCAACAGCTGGCTACAGTGAGTGGTGCTGCAGCCAGGGCTTTGGCTCTCTGGGTCATGGGACCAGCTTTGACAAACCTGGTCTGCTGGGGGCTGATGGGATCCACCTGTCAGAAAAGGGGGTGAGAATCCTTGGCTGTTGGCTAGCTAAGCTGGTGAAGAGGGCTTTAAACTGATGTGGTTGGGGGGGAGGGTGGAAACCTCCATTCATCCCACACCAATCAATTCCAAGGTGATGCTGATATCAGTAAGAGATGCCCAGAGCCTATAGGAGGGGTGCAAGTCAGCAGGGGAGCACCTGGAGACCAGCATCATGAAATCCCAGCCCTTCCAGATGGTCAGTTAGCTGGAGGGCCAGCTGAAATGCCTCAATGCAAATGCGGGCAGCATGGGGAACAAACAGGAGGAGCTGGAGATGTGTGTGTGCTTGCAGGGCTATGACCTTATTGGCACCTCTGCTACAAAGGCAGGCTGAGAGAGTTGGGCTGTTCAGCCTGGAGAAGAGAAGGCTCCAGGATGACCTTAGAACACCTTCCAGTGCCTGAAGGGGCTCCAGGAAAGCTGGGGAGGGGCTTTTCACCAGAGAGGGCAGTGAGTGGACAAGGGGTAACGGATTTAAACTGAAAGAGGGGAGATTTAGGTGAGATATTAGGAAGAAATTCTTCACCATGAGAGCAGTAAGGTGCTGGAATAGGTTGCCCTGGGAGGTTGTGGAAGCCCCCTCACTTGTTGAAGGGCAGGTTGGATGAGGCTTGTGCAGCCTGGGTTGGTGGGAGGTGTCCCTGCTCATGGCAGAGAGGTTGGAACCTGATGATCTTTAGGGTCCCTTCCAACCCTCACCATGCTATGATTCTATGTCAGTGGTTGGGTTTTCCTCAAGAAAATGAAGGGAGGGGGCTTGTAGGGCAGGTTTCAAGAAAGAACAGTTTTCACCCTCAAATTGTGGGGAGTTTTCTCTCACACACACCCTTCACCCCCCCCCGATTTCATTACAGTGAAAGCACAACATTTAATAAAACTGTGTCCTTTTAAAAAAAAAAATCAGTCTTACAGACAGGCAGCCTTTGTCCAGAGGTGTAATTACAGGATAAATATGGGATGCAGACCAAGAAGTGTGGTCTGGTCAGGCATGCAGTCTCTTAAAAAAACACAACAGAAAACAAGGCTGTCATTTAATGCTGAAATGTCCACGTGTGCTGCAGCCCCTGGTCCCCTCATGAAGCTGCAGCAAAGCTCCTGTGGGAACCACACTGAGCCCTGCCAGGGACAGAAGAGTGAGGGTGGATCAGCCTCTGGGGCTGGGTGAGGGCACCCATGGCTTGGGTGATGGGTTTCCCTCCAGGCCTGATGCAGAAATCCCATCTGATAGTGCTGAGAGGGGACAGGGGGGATTAGCTTCTCCGATCTCATTAAATGGAGCTGGAGCAAACCAGGAAAAGGGGTGGTGGGGGGGCAGGCTCAGGACAGCTTGGGCAGCAGGCACAACTGATGACATTTGGGACAAACCTTATGTCAAGCTGGAAATAGGCCTTTTTATGCATTTCTGTGGGCCAGCCTGACAGCCTGGCTTCATGGCCAGGCAGACATTCACCGTGCCAGCCACAGGTAGGAGCTTGCCACCTTGGCCAGGCATTAACGTGCAGAACATCTAAGGTGGCATTTCAGAGACTGGCCTGCCTTGACTGCTCTCCCACTTGGTGGGCACCATCTTCTTCTGACTCAAGAAAGAACTGCCTCTCCATGGTGTGCTCAGCCCTGTGGCCAAGGGGGAGGCAGGAAAAGAGCCAGATGTACCTGCTGTCCAAAGTCAAGTCTGGACCAGGCTGGTGGAGGGAAGCATTAACCAGAAAGATCCCGTTTGGAGGGGAATGGTGCACACATAATTCATTGAAGCTCTCCCTGCTGCTCCATCATCTCCTGTCACCTGCAATAACTCCAAGGAGGAGCAGGCTTTGGGCTGGCAGGCCTGTCCCAATGGGACACGTGTCCTCTCACTGCTCTGGGCTACCTGCAGAAGGTGTCTCTCTGGAGACAACAAGCATCACCTCAATGGGGAGGGGCTTGCCTTTCATTTGTTTGCTCGTTTTAAGGCAAGAATGAGGGTGTTGGGGACTGTTTTGTTTCTGGAAGCTTGAGTGCCTTGAGAAGAGGCATTGGTGGATGAAAGAGTGAGGATGCACTTCTTGTGGTCCCTGCTGGGGGCTTTTTTCCACGTGCTCTGTTGGAACACAGGTATGTCATGACTCTGCTGTGGCTTTCCCAATGTGTGATTTTGCTTTTCCCAAATCCATGCCTTTCCCCCTATATGGAAGGACAGGGGCAAGGCCTGGCAGTGGCTGGGGCAGGGTGAGCAGGAGGTGCCCTTCCTGTGGGGACACACACACACAAACAACCCCCCAGCTGGTTGCAGGGTGGGTTTGGCTGCTTTGGTCTTGTCAGGTGCTGTGTGTCCCTCGTGGCCTCCTCCTGAGGTGTCTGGCAAGGAGTGACAGGCTGTGTGTGGGTTGAATGGGAGCGATTACCCCCTGTGGAAATCTGCATGGGCTGGGGGAGCGTTTTGTTTCTGTCCCGAGGTGGTTTTGATGGGAAGCTGGAGGGGTTCCAGGGAGAAATGCTGGTGATGAGCTAGACAGGACAGGCTGGAGCCAGCCAGGGCCGTGCAGGTGAGAATGGGTGGTTGTTGCTAGTCCCTCTGGCCTCAGACCAGTCCCGTTCCCCTTCCCCTTGCTGCTTGTTTTGTATTTCCTTCTCTATCTGTCCTGGCCCTCCAACTCCTGATTTCCCAAGCCCTCCATGCCTGGTAGGATGGGAGAGGGATGCTGGGCACCTCTGTGATGTCCCTGTGGCAGCTTTGAGCAGCTCGTGCTGTTTTGCAAAACAACCACGAATTGTTTTAAGCTTGATTTGAGCTGCAAAAGCCAAGCCAGGCTGTCCTCCTGCTGCAGCACCAGGGAGAGGCGTGTGCCTGTGACCACTGCCCTGGGTCTGGCCACTGCTCCCCCAGGTGCTGGCTGGAGCTCCACGGGTTTTTCCCAGCTGACCTGGCCCTCTCCCCGAGCACCCTGGGTTCAACACCTCAGGGCCAGATCCTGCCTGGCCAGCGAGGTGGGCACACTCAGCAAAAAAACCCTCATCCCCCCCGCCAGGGCTCCGGAGAGGCTGCTCCCCCACCTGCCGGCCCCTGCTCCTCAATGCTGCCTCTGTTCTCCCTCTTGGGTCAAAAAACGTGGCTTTTGTCAGCTCCCTCATGGCAGCCCCGGCAGAAACGCAGCCCAGCTGTGGCCAGCTGTTGCCTTTTACTGATGGATTTTTTTTGTTGTTGCTTGGAGAGGGGGGTGTGGGGCTGCTGGTTGTGGTCAGGGGGGGACCCCTCGGGGCTCCCCAGTGTGAGTCTTAGGTGGAGACAAGGCTCCAGCAAAACGCCTGGGATGTGGGGAGTGAAAGGATGTGCTGCAAAGCGGGCGAAAAAGAGGCATTTTAGTTCATGAAGTGTGAATTGGGCGGGGGTGGGGGGAAGCAGCTGAGCGCCAGGCTCGTGGCAAACACCCTGGGGACCCCTGCTCCTGTGCCAGGTATCTGTCACCCACCCGTGCTGCTGGCAAGAGTTTCGGGGGTCCCACTCCAGGGTATGGGGAGGGGGGCACAGACAAACACCAAGGAGACAGGAGTTGCTTTGGACTCGGTGCTGTTGTATTTTTGTTTTTAATTTAAGAAGTCTGGCTGCCTTCCAGCAGGCAGCCGGGCTTGCAGGGGTGGGGGCAGCCCTGGCACTGGCTGCTGGGGCTCTTGGGGGGAACTGAGAGAGGGGGGAGTTTAGCCCGAGGGTCCCTGGGAGCTCTCCCAGAATCCTGTAGCAGAGCTCGTGGTGGTCTCCAGCCACAATCTGACCTCTGCCACCTCGGCTTGGGGTGTTTCTTCGTGGTTTGTTGTGCTGCTGGGATTTTTAGGCTTCTCCCCTTGATCCTGCATCCCCTTCTTTTTTCATGTAATAAATAAATAAAATTTGCCTGGCAACCCTGGTATGAATTTACACAGGAAAAAAACCCCAACAAAAACCAAACCAACAAACCCAACAAAACCCAACCCCAAACAAATCCCCAAATCCAACTTCGAAGAGCACCAAACCACAAAGTCACCTCATTTCACGGCAGCCCAAGCGCTGCCTGGGACTCTCGTGGGCGTCTCCTGCCCCCGGCATTGCCTCTGGGGCAGTTCCCAGTCTGTGCTGGTGTGTGAAGGCACTAAACCAGTAAGGCTTCTGGGCTCTGGGTCCATGCAGGCACCACAGGGGGTCTCGTCCTTGCCTCCTCCTCGCTGGGGCGGAGCGGCAACGCGGAGGCGCTCGGTCCTGTCGCCCTCCTCTTCCTCGCTGTGGCACCCGAGCCCACCTCCCCTCGCCCTTACAACTCCTGGAGAAATCCTGTAATTCCACCTCTGCCAGACCTTGGGGGGCAGCTCTGCCAGGATCCCCAGGCTCCCGGTGCTGCTGATTCCCACCCGGCAGCGCTGAGGGGCACATCCAGGAGCAGGAACCACCTTCCCAGGCTCGGATCTCCTCCGGGGCCAGCCAGGAGCACAACCGCAGCCCCTCGTTGCGCCCCCCTCCCCGCTTTTACGTGACCCAGGAGGGCTGTGCCTCCTCCAGCAGGCTGAAGGAGCGGTTGGCCAGCGCGGCGGGGCTCTGGGC